TAAAGTAAAATAAAAAACCAATGTATATATATATATGGAAATTAAGATGAGTTGAAAAGTAGTAGTTATTTGAAACACCTCTATATTTCATCAAGCTATCAAACTCGTGTAGGTGTTTTTCGTCTCAATACCTTCACTAAAGATTCGACAAATTAAATATCGTTTTTGTTTTTGCTTTCCTTTAAATATTAATTTGTGACCCCTAATATGTAATTTTTGAAGACTTCAATTTTACTAGGATTTTAAAAATATGTATTAAGGGCAGACAATACGGAACACCCCAAATTTTCTATTTTTGATTTATCGTTATTCTTAACCATTTCATCAAAATAGTATACCGACATAGGATAACTTAATAACTTATTAATATATATATATATATATACTTCCAGTTGGACTTGTATCATGAAGAGTACAATTCTGCCGCCGTAATGTTCGCCTCTATACCGAACTACATGGATTTCTATAGTGAATCACTCCTGAACGATGAAGGAAGGAAGTGTCTTCAAGTTCTGCATGAAATCATAAGTGATTTTGACAAAGTAATTTATTTATAAGGCATGGACACAATCCTTAGTTAGATAGATATCTTATTTACCAATAAGTATTAGAACATCTCTGAAAGAAAAGAAAAACGATATCTATTTGTATTTAATATTTTGTTGAATAGACACGAGAGGCAAATATAGCTTCAATTCTCCGAGGCATGCTTTCCTTAAGTCTTTGTAATACGGATGGAGGTATAATATCATTAGTCTTTGTAACGCGAGGCTGAAGGTATATTTTTTTACCGATGTGCTTGCTGAAGATATAAGTTCCTTTACCGATTTTGGATTGTTGTTTCACCTCACCTCTTAAAAAGACTCTTTACCGAGAGCGAAACTTTACGTGACAAATTTTATTTTACTTCCGTTGATAGTTTAACTTTTAAAGTATAAGGCGAGGATTTGGTTAACCAAGAGTAAACCATGAAGTTTCAAGTGCTGAAAAAGTTTTGTCAAAATACAAGTATACTTTTATGGCAGGATTACTTCTTCTCTCTATAATCCTGAATATTTCGGCAAAAATCTGTTAATGATATGAAAAAATATGAAAAAATGCTTTTAGCACTTGAAACCGGTTTGTTCTTGATTTGCCTGAGCACACTTGCTCCTGTTCTGTAAAATTTATAATACTAATGTAATTAAAATATGGTTTACCATGAAGCGTTTGTTCTGAGATAGCATTCTCTTAATTCGGTGATCCAACTCACCCCTGAAGTTCTTGAAGGGGTTCAGTTCTGATCACTGGATTGGGCAATTCATTCGGTCCAATAATCCAACAAAGGAGGTCTCACTGGTTTTGAAAATTAATTGTTTAAAATATTTTTACAAATTTTTGCAGAGTAACAATATATTCCTCCTTGACTCAGGGGGTAGAGTATTCACCTTTCAATGAGGTGAATCGAACTCGAATCCCAGCGATGGCTGAATGATACGCATACCGCACCCGGCTCACGCCGACCACAGTCCTGGCGTAAAATATCCTCAGTGGTATAGGCGGATCATGGGTTCGATTCCTGTTACCGTCAGGCTAACTGTGGGGAGTTTTCGTGGTTTCCCTCTCCATATAAAGCAAATGCGGGCTAGTTCCATTAAAAAAAGTCCCCCACAAAGGCAAATTTCTCCCAATACTTGAGCCAGGAGTTCCCTTGTCTTCTAGATTGGGTTCAAAATTACAAGTCTACGGAGTTTGAACATTAATAGGGTTAAACCCAAAAAATTAGGTCGACTGTTCAACGACGTTTATAAAATACCAATACACGTTGACCCGCGGTGGCTTAGGGAATGGAGCGTTTGTCTCTCAATGACGTAATATGTCATTAGTGGTAGACGGATCCTGGATTAAAATGACCTTGCTGTTGGGCTAACCATGGGAGATTTTTGTGGTTATCCTTTCCATGTAATGCATAGTTTCATAACAATGTCCTCCCTTAAGTTTAATTTGCCTCCCTGCTTAATCCAGGAGTTCCCTTGTCTTCTGGGATGGGTTCAAAATTACAAAACTGCGGAGTTGAACATTGAATGTCGTAAACTCAGAATTGGATCGGCTGTTCAGCACGCGTTATAAAGTAAAATAAAAAACCAATGCATGTTGACCTCATATCGTATTTAGAAGAAAAGCCGCAAATCATATTTGCAAATCTGCATGAGTGTCCAAATACTTATAGGTAGATAGTGTATTAAATTCCCACTTTAATAGCTTGTTTATTAATTCATGTTATTTAACTATACAAAGTGTATAACTGTGATAACTTAAGTATACTACTCTATTCAGCTAAACATCTTTTAATATATGTTTAGACTATTGCTAAACATATTCTACACACAGTATTATTCAATGCTTGATTATTAATTTTTAAAAGTCAAATATTTCGTACTGTGCTTAAAATTTATATTTATTTTAGTTTTATTACATTATAAATTTTTATTTTACAGCTTTTTTCAGTTAAAATTTGAGAGCTGAACACAATAAAAATTTGTTTTTAAAACGTTTAATTAAGTAAACATCTTTTACATATTTTTATACTTCAGTCATTATTTTACAAAACAATTATAATTTTCAGATCTTCTATGTATATTCATTTATATATAGTTTTCATTAGTTACTAAAAAACAAGATAGTATTTAAGAGGCAATTTAATTTGCTATCAAAAAAAGTATCTTATGAGATAAATATTATGTAACTAAAAAACCTACTTATTTATTCGAGGTTGTTAAAATATTTTCGTTATGATGTCAAATAACGATTGAAGGTATGAATTGATAAACAACATCCCATGTTCAGGAAACTACAACATATTTATTGTTTTTAGTTGATTTTTACTTCGTTTATACTTTTATTTAAAAGTTAATAGAAGCGAAAAATAAATAAACGCGTTATTTAAAAAATGGAACAACTCCACATTTCTTCATTTTGAGATACAAATCTAGTTTTTCTATCTTGTCTGGTTTTTATTTCCCTTAGTTTGGCTAGAGCAGTAATAGTTTTAAAATTAGATAGAAATGACTGCATTAAACATAAAAGGAAGGCTAACTCCATTTTTTATTTAGTGGACTGTGACCACTCTTCAAATAATAACTTCAAATAAAGTTTTATAAATTTTTAAATAAAACAAAAAATTATAGGAATATCCGCTCACATGTTATTTTTGATATGGTAATAATTACACTCTATATTTTAAGCAAAAAAAAAGTTTCGTGTTTAGAAAAGCTTTGTTCTGTAACCTTATTTTAATAAAGTAAACACAAAGTAAAAAATAAATATGATTTTGTCATTAAGCAAGTTATGGAGAAGTTATTTTCGTTTGATAAACATTTTTTTTTCCTAAATATATTCCCTATTCTTCCTTTTTACTATTAAATTTTTAAATTTTAAAACAATATCAGCCTTATTAGACAGCGCAAAACAAAAGGTCGTTTTGTTTTAATGAGTTTAGATTTCATTTAATATATCACTAAAATAAATGTTTCCTTTTCAACTAAATCAGGAAAAACTATCTAACTAAAAAGCGTTTTGTTTAGTTTTGTAAAGGAAATATAGAATGAGGTTGTTGTTTTTTTAAACTAAATTTATCGACATTTAATAAGAAAAACAAATTTATATTTATTTTGATATTATTTTATTCTTTGTTTTAAATTATATTCATAGAATAGTTAATAAAAGAAATTGAAACTAAAATTCATGCATGGATATGGACGTAATATTCTTCCTCAAAGACTTTGCTAATAGATCGAGTCTTACCGGCAAAAAATCAAAAACAACAGCAAAAATTGACTTATCTAAAAATTTATTTAAGTGCAATATTTTAATTGTAACATTTAGAAAAAGTACAATAGGGAATCTTACCTTTTAGCTTATTATATAAAAAAAATGATTACATTTGAAAGAAGAAATTTATTTCTAGAAATATCTTACCTCTTTTTAATGATTATAGAATTTAAAAATACTAAAACCTCAGTGTGATTCTTTGTCATAAATTCTATTTAAATATTATTTGATAGAGTAATTAATATAAACGAGTAATATAGCCTATTATGTAAAGTATTGCCCATTATGTACTGAGCTTTTAAATAAAGCCATACCTTAAAAGAGGTATAAAAAAATATCTAATAAAGCCGAATATTAAATCTAAGTAATACAGATGTAACAAAAACGTTTATAAATGTATGGAAAACCAAACATTATTAAAATTTCTTAATTGAATTAATAATCTATATATTAACACGGAATTCGTGAATAAACAAAAACGTAAAACGATCGTGTTCGCGAATGCGCATTCACAAAATCAGAAATGCGTGTGTTTATACTGTAAAATATAAGATACGCGTTTCTAGAACTTGGTTAAACACGCATGATAAATATCTAGTTAAAAACTACAACGAGTGCAGTAAACTAAAATGTATAAAACGTTACTTTCATTGATTATTTTTCCTTTCAATTTCTATTTATTGCACTGTGTGGAAATGTTTTTCGGGAAAAAAGGAAAGTGATGCACAAATTTACTGTTCCCTGTTTCTAAAATATTTCATTTTTATAAAAAAAAATTTTAACTTGATTTTTAAAAAATCATATTTATTTGTTTAGTTATTAAAAAATCATTTTTGTCATCCATACTTTAATTCTAGCTTCTGTATGAACCTCCATTTTTAAAACTTGAAAAGATCAAAACAATTGGAAGTACTTATATGGCTGCAGCTGGTTTGCAACCAGGAAGAAATTCTAGCAGGACTTCATATGAGGTTATTATATATTTTTATCATTTTAGAAATAACTTGATTATAAAAATTCTTTACGTGATCTTATTAAAAATATGAACTAATAAAACAATTAATTATTTTATTTCATTTTTTTAATAATAATACAAATAGCGTAGTTCAAAATTCAGTTTTTATAATAACAATACATTCGGAAATTGTAAAACGACATTAAGTATTTCAGAATTATAAAATAATCACAAAAAGTTATTTTATTTTACCTTAAAATAAAGGCAGTTACAAATTTTACTGTTATTCGAAAAAAAACTATATAACTTTTTCCACATATGCTCTAATTTAGTAGAGTTTTTAAATAAAATTAATTTTATAAAAATATATTTTATGTGACTAACTTGCTTACTTTTGTAATTTAATGAACATTTTGTTTTCAAACAATAGCAAGCCTTTGTCTAAATGTTTTTATAAAATAGTATTTCACAAAAGATGATTTCATCGTTTTTAACCAGTTTCCAGGATAATTTTGAAATTAATTTTGTTAACTATTTTGATTGATGCAAAAAAAGTCTATTTTTTATTCAAGTTGGAAATTCTGCTTACAATATTTTACTAATTCTTCACTGTTCAAATTATATTCATCAAGAAAGAACAAACTAAAATGAAATATTGAAATTGACGGCAGATTGAAGTTTGTGAATCTTTCCCCTTTTGCTAACGTATATATTATCTTAATATTTTCAATTTCAATTGAAAAAAGAAATAAAATCTGCTTCCGAATTTCCCCCAACTTAAAAATTTACTCTGTCTAAAAAACTTAAGCCATGCTTTTTTTAAATCAAAATTCTTGAAATTGGAGTTGAAAAAATAATAGAAAAATGCATCATTTTTTAAATTAATCAGCAATTTTCCATAACTAAAACACACTGATACAAAAAAGTTACCGTGATTTTTGCATTGGCGTAAGTACAGGCGAAATGATCTTCGCAAACTTGAATTTTTCAGCGTAATTTAGGTGTTGATTTGTAAAATTTTCAAGCCATTTGCCTGAAAAAGTAAATTTCTGCACGTAATGTTGTGTACGTAGAACTTTGAATTTTAATTTAATGACATTATAGTGTTTGATTCTAACTGATAAAGGACTTAGCAGTTTTTCATATAATTAATTAAACAATCTATGGGCTTCGCTTGCTGAACAATGTTATCCAAAACCTTCTTATTCCTAGCCTAGGTTTTCCAATTAATAATTTTCATTACGGTTAGCTCTCTTGTTACATCATTTAACCATCCCTTTTTTGGGTCTTCTTCTGGTCCTTGAATTCAATAATTCCCACTTCACTCAACACCATAATAAATATTACATAATATGTATTACTATTTAAAATTCAAGCAAACTGGTTAGAAATTAAAGAATCTATCATGCTCGGACTGAAAGAATGAACGTTTTTTTTAATGATTATGAAAGAGCATATTTCATTCATAATCGCGTATATGCAAAATGCAAAATGAGCTGTATCTTAATCATATCTATGAGTTTACAGGAAAAACACCTTACGCATGCATATAGTTGAATTATCTAAAAATGAAAAAACGAAGATTTTATAAGAACCACGGAGTTTTTTCCAAAATAAATTTCATCATGATCACATCAAGCAGTGGTATGAATTTAGCAATATTCTGCCTTTTTTACGTAAATAAAATAAGATTGATAGGATGATAGGAAATTATCATCAGGGCTAATTTTGAAGAGTAAATTGTTTTTCGTAGAAGATTGTAAGCTGTATACAATTTTCAGAATATTAATGTTAAAAATAATATACTCAATGTGGTACAAACACACTACCTGTAATATTTCTACTTTTCAGGTAAGATCCGTAGACAATGTTTTATCCTTACCATTTTCAGTAAGTTCTCTTTAAATATACGGTTCAAAATAGTTTAATTCATTGAAAAAATTACTGCGTTAGTTGTTACAAATGTTTGTTATAAAAAATTTTATCCAAACGTCTAAAGCTGAGAAGACCCATTCAGTTTATTCAAACCTTATCATTGAAGATTCATCTTTAAATTGTAAAGTATTTCATAGCCATAGTTTAGAATTGATTCTGCAGAATGATTATTTTTTGTTGTTGAAATTCTGCACTTAAGCAGCGAATGAAGTTTACATTCCTTTAACAGAACCCATAAGAACAAAATATTGAAGCTCTCATAAAAATGAAAGTCATGAATGGATATATTAATACGTCTTAAGTTTTAACCTACAGATTACGTCAGCTTATATTGAACTTACAAAAGGTAATTTCAAAATGAAATATCAGATATTGTTGTAGTGATCAATTCTATGACATATTATAGTTTTTTCAGCCGTTTTCAAAGAAAACAGAAAAAATATCTTCTGTTTCAGGTATCCTGATGGAAAATAACTAATATTTTTTCATTTTTTTATTTTGAAAAGCCTATGCTAACTAAAAAACTTTACTAATGTAACTTTGGTGTATATTTCGACCTGATAGGAAGTTTGAAAAAGCTTTTATCCAAATTAAAAATATTAATAGTTATTGGCATGTTTTTCTTACGTTTTTACACCTGTGTTGTTTTTAATTAAATAGTTATAAAAATATTTGACTCATGATGACAAGTATGACTTATTTTATTTACATCTTTACATCAAGGGCTAACACTTTCAGCTAAATAACGTCACATTTGTCAACTTATAAACGGAAGCTAGTACAGTGAAATAAACACCTAATTGAAAAAAACATGCCTACAGAAACAAAATTAAGAAAATTTTGATTTAGATGAGATCTATTGCAAATGAGAATCAATATATATTCCTATATATACTATATATTCCCATAAATCGTACAGATTCTAAAAATTGTTTGAATTTGAGATTTTTTTCTTAATTAAATATTCAGTGATACGTACTACGGCATTACATGCATAGAATAGATTACATTACGGAACAGATTCAGTCACGTACTGTCTTCTCGTTTCAGTTTTGAACAAAAGCCATTCCAAATTGCCAATTTTGAACTACATGATAAATAGGTATTCGTAAATTGTAAGCTCAATGGTGACTCTTACTGAATATGCGATTCTTAATTTTTCAAACATTAGTTTATTTTACAACTGTTTACTACTGTTTTACTATTGTTACTATTATCACACCTCTTATCACACTATATGACTACACGTCTTCGAAGAGAGAACCTTTTTAACTCTTGTTTTTACACAGAACCTGGATTTACCGAACATTTTCAATCCGAATACCTTTGTTAACTGTTGATTCTGAAGCATTTTTCTTTTGCATTCACATGTTGTAGTTGTTGTTTTTTTCCTCAATTGCAATAGCGTGCTGCCGTAAAAAAAAGGTATAAAAAAGACTTTCAAATTAACGAAATACTCCTAGTGTTGCATGACTACGTAGAAATTATCATTTAATGCAAGTAACGTATAAACATTTAGTTGGTTGCTTAGGTTTTGATCAAGAGGTTTGAAAGACGTAACTTAGTTGTTCTATCCGTATTTTTATTATTACTCTTACTTATCTTAAAAAGAAGGACATTATGTCATCTGTTCAAGAAGAATATAGTATCACATTAGAAATGGAATAAGAGAAAAGACGTATAAAACCTGCAAAAATAGATCAATGAAATCAACTGAGAAAATCAGCGAATTTCAATTAATGATTCAGAATTACTCGCTGTTTAATATACAAAGGGTTTATGGATGGTGTTTTCTACACTAGGGAACGCTGCAAGCTCGGTATAGCCTAAATTTCCGGGTTACTGTTTCCGTTGTATTTTAAAGCCATTTGGCATCATTGTGTTTTGAGATTCTTGCAAACAATGTATTTGATTACTTATTACTTGTGTTTACAATGCTAACAATACTGGTGTTTACAATGCTAAAAGTGTTAACACTAACGTAACATGGTGCACAGGTTGCAACAAGAACAAACAGTAATAAACTTATGGAAAGAGGCCATATCAAGACTGCCAAAAAAGCGAGTTATCCAAAATCTAGCAACCATGTCACCTTTTTTAACAATATATCTCTAAAACACTAAAACAAATTTTCACTTCAAACTCACCAGAATTACATTTTAACATTAATATCTTATGAAATATGGCAGATTTGAGCTCAGAAATTATCTAATTTATTTCTTTTATTGAAAACAAAATTATCCGTTTGAAAACATCGCCTATCAGAATAACATGTAGTAAGCAGCTGCAAACTTTTTAACCGGAACTAGAGTAGGTGCCGAGCTCGAGATTGTTATTGTTTACATTTCTATTGAAAACACCATCCATTCAAAAGTCAAGGGAAGTAAGGAATCATTTGGAGCAATAGGGCGAATGAATTTTAAAATGAAACACTTTTAAATCTATATTACGAAAAGAAGTCAATTAAATGTTCATATTAAATTTATATATAACATAGCACAATTGCTTAAAAATAATTCAATTTTCAAAGTTTATTTATGAAAATAGTCTAAGCAACAATGTTTCCATTACAGTCCGAATATTTCGATAATCCGAAGTAAGGCCGATCCAATAATCCAGGCCCTACTGATTTTGAAATTAATGGTTTAAAATATTTTTTTTACAAATTTTTGCAACGTAACAATATATTGCACCGTGAACCGCGATAGCTCATGGGGTAGAAGCGAGGGCTCTGGGAATAGAGCCCTCGCTTCCCAATAAGGTGTCCCGAGTTCAAATCCCAGCGATGGTTGATAGTAATGAATTCCGCACTCGGCTCTTACCGACAACCATGCTGACGTAAAATTTCCTCAGTAAGAGACGGATCATGGGTTAGAGTTACCTTGTCATTAGGGTAACCGTGGGAGGTTTTCGTGTTCATCATCCACGAAGTACAATTTTTCCCAATACTTCATCCTCCTTTGTCTTCTGGATTAGGTTCAAAATTACACAGCTACGGAGTTGAACATTGCTAGTTTTAGACTCAAAATTGGGCCAACTGTTCAACGACGGTTTTAAAATGAAATATATTCCATCGTTATATTGTAAAACGCTTACAAATAGGCTGGACTATAATCTTACTTTTAAAAAATACAAAAAAGAGAGAATGAAAAAAATTTTGAATCTGAAAAAGTGAATCAAACATCCTAAGTCTTTTCTTTAAGGTTTAACTTAAAAACAGAGAAAGTGCTTTAAAGAAAAAAGGAAAGCTTTTAAGGTATAAAGAAACCTGTTTTGACAGATTATAATTTAATAACAATAGAAATTAAGCCCAAATGGATTTTTAAATTTCCTACAGATTTGCTAAAACTTTAATTGAAATAATGTGTTGAAAATAAGAAATACTTGAGATAAAATTAAGAAAACATTTACATATAATAAGGGACTAATGAAAATTCAAAATAATCTTGCTCTTCTCTTAAACAAATATCATCAAAAACTACATTGAACAAATATTATTCCAGTTTCTTGTTAAAAAGCCTTCTTATTTTTAGACATTACATTCTCTATCAATTAAAATAATCTTAAAATATTACAATATTACATTTTTTGAAATTCTATTTATATGGTTCTGTACTCATATTTATAATTTTAATTTATTTATTTATTTTTTTTGTTATTACAGAGTTTTGGTCCAGAAGAAGATGCCACACAGAATGTTTTGGTTCTTATAAAGTTTGCAATGACGATTATGGATTCCTTGGAAGAGATAAACAAACAAAGTTGGCAAAAATTTCATCTAAGAATTGGTAAGCTTTTTTTTTATTTCTTATTTTTACTTAAATTTTATTTATTCTGAAAATGCCTTTTTGGACTTTGTATAAAAATCTAAAGTGACGATTAATGACGTTAATGTAATGACGATGATGCCTGAAATTCCTAACAATTTATCTTCACGTTACAACACTCTAAAGCATTTTGGGGTTTACGAAAGAAAAATTTCATTTATAAATTTCGCAGAGCTCCCACTTACCATAACCGTTGATGATTATTAATCAGCATTGCAAATCTGAGTTATATAAATTACAGATATCCTCTCTTCTCCCTCTGCTCTTCACCTTTTATATAGTTTTAAATTAAATATAAGGTTTTATTAATAAACTAGTATATCTAATGAGATTCAGAAAATAGTAAGACAATTATTTTTTTATTATTTCTCATTAAATGTTGAATTATTATTTCTTAAGCAAACGTAAAATAGGGTCGATTTTGACGAATTTAAACTTTACGCTACAATCTGTATGATTCGGTTACACGCTCTTATTTTTGAGAAACAATATCTTGTTTGAATGAACAAAAGTGAAATTTTATCGCACGCTACCATCTACATGATTAAATTCTTCTGCAAGCTTTGATGATCAATGATTTTTTCTTCATTTTTTCTTGATTATTATCAACAAAAACACTCATTAAAATAATTAAATCTGTGTGATTTGATTTGTATATTTTTCGTGCCCTGTTTCGTACGCATTTTCGTGCTTCCTTTTGGAATAAACAATATTTGGTATTATTCGATCATGTATGGGTTATCAGTACGATTGTACCATCCTTCGCGTCTTGATGACCGATTTTTTTTAATGCTGTCAACAAAACTGTAAGATGAACTTACTTATAATTTGAACATTATTATTTATATAATGTTGTTATTGTGTGTTATAACGCAATCAAATATTAACTAACTGAACAGAACTATCTGGTATTATTTCTCAAATCATCATGACCTTCACCTTAGGCCCCGTTATGTATAAAATCTAAAATTGGAACTTTTTTCAATCCTTCTAGAACTGATCAAATTATAATTAAACATGAGTTTCTTTTTTTTTACCTTACATTACAGCTGTCTAAATCTAAACAGTTAATCAAAATAAACTTCATCTTCTTCATCATAGTTATTTTACTTTATAATATATACATGCGTATAGTTTGTCTAAAATAAGAACTCCTCCAGACATTCGTCTGGACTGAGGCGGGGACTATAGTAACGAGGCATGACTATTTCAAATAGGGGTGCAGGATCACTGTTTTGGAGTGGTTTCGGGTTTTTCGGTCTATTGTGTTAGTCCTATAGTGAAGCTACCCTCCCTAAAATGCGTCATTCTTGATTCCATAGCACCAGACGGCCTCAGACTTTGTGGCGGGAAGAATTCTTAGCTTAGACAAACTATACAATTCCGTTTATGCCTTATCTATAGTTAAATTGAGGATATTACTTTTCACAGGGATTGCAATGGGTCCTGTTCTAGCAGGAGTTGTGGGTACTTCAAAGCCACAATATGATATTTGGGGAGATACTGTTAATATTGCAAGCAGGATGGATAGTACCGGTGTCATTGGATCTATTCAAGTAAGTTACACTGCTACAGGATGAAATACAGCTTAACCACTAATATAATGACTATACAGTGAGCAAAAAAAAGAAAGAAAACGATAAGAGCGAAAGAAACAATAATTAGAAAGAAACAATAGTTATATTGATTCAATGATTGGATCTTCACTTACTAGGACTCAATCTTAAATGGTTGGAGTGGTGACCTCAAAAATGATAATTATTTCGTGCAGACGATATTTTAAATTGCGAAATCAAACACAAAAACGTATTTTCTCTGAATAAACATACTTTTTTTTCCTACGGATTATGATTCCTGGCCCCCAAAGTATAGGGTAACCGCAATTTGGGAAATATGGTCCTAATAAATTGGTCAGTAGAGCGGTGGAAAGTTTGGACCCCTTAATGTTAATTTTACTTCTTGTTTTTTTCGCCATATCTCTAGAACTTTTGAGGCGAATTGAAAAATTTTTGCACACAATTATAAAACTCGTTTATCCAAATATAATTCTATGGAAAAAAATTATTTTTCTTATAATTATTTGTTTTTTTTTTTATTATTTATTTAATAATAGTCGAAAAAAATTTTAAATAGTAAGATAATCAAGTTTTTTAATCGTATAAAAGAATGTAATTTTTAATAGAAAAACACAAAATTTGGACGAAATTGTTTGAATAGTACCTAAGAAATCGAATTTTAAAAATCTGACTTTTACTCACAGACTAAATCAAAAATTCTAGTTGCTTTCGAAAACGATGAAATAGTTTTGGTAAAATTAAAAAAAAAAAAATACACTCTGAAAAGGTTGTTACACAAAGAGATGTGAGGTTTTAAACATAAGTTGCAGATCTAAATCTCTATGCATTTAAGGAAGGTTTAAAAGAGAAATAAGAAATAAAAATCTTCGTTTAATTTCAGGTAACAGAGGCAGTGGCAAATATTTTAAAAGAAAGTTCCAAATACGATGTTGAATGTCGGGGAAAAATCTTCGTCAAAGGAAAAGGTTGGATGACAACATATCTCGTGAGTGCCATTGAAAATACACGACTTTAAATTACATGAGGGCATGATGTACTCAAAACCCTTATTGTGTCCGTAAGGTATCAGTTATTTCATGCATATTTGAGAGTCTTTTGCTGCATGAGCATTTTTCTGGAGAAGCATTTTTCATTCATTATCAATTGGAAATCATTTTATACGTATCAAGGATCGGATTCATATCAAGGTACTCTTGAGAACTGCAACTAATTCCGTTCGAACTAGAACTTATTGAAATAAACTACTCTTCTGATTGTTATGATGTTGCTGATTGCGAATCAAAAACTAGAGAGCGTATGCTCTGATTGTGTATCAAAGATCGGTAACTATCAAGGTAATTTTGAAAGCTGGTAGGAATTCAGTCCTTCAAGTCAATTATTGAACAAGTAGCTCGTGCTGCTGATTGCTATGCTATTTTGTGTATGTGAAATTAATTTATTGGTATGATACTGAAAGTATTAATTGGTGCAGTGTGCGAAAGCGTCATTTTTTGGTGAAAAAATAAACTTTTGCTGATATATTTAATGTTGTGATATATTTTGCTGATATATTTAATGTAATGTTGATTGTGTGAGCAATAGTATTCCAGAATTTTGCGCAACTTAAGCTACTGTATTTGATGTATGTCACTCCCCTACTTATTTGAAGAAAGATATGAAGAAAAAATTTTGTTTTTAATACTATTATTATTATAACTTTCTTGTTTAGTTTGATATAATGGTACAATATTGTGTTATATTAAACGATTTAGCAGTAAATTTCGTACTTATACACAAATAAACTACCATTAAGTGTTTTGCATAACCTACCAAATTCAGTAAAATGTTTTGCCTTTTTACGATTGCTTTTTTTGCTTTTTGCCAAACGAACAAAGTTAACTAAGATTTCTTTCTTTCTTGCAAAATGCTCTTACTAAAATATTCTAAATAAACAAATAAATCTGCATTGTATTCCAGCATTGTGAGATCATGATATAGGAAGCTATTGTAAAATCTTTATAAATTTCTATAAATTATAATCAGTTGAAGTATTGCTTTTTAAAAAGTTTGTGTTGTTACAGATTTATGTTATTTCATTGATTGTACATGTACATACATTTTGTTCCTTTTTGTGACATCTTTCTTTTTTTTTTAATTGCATTTCACTGAATGTTGAATAAAATACTAAAAAGAGATGTTGATAGCATTTTTACTTTATTTCAAGAGCATAATAATCCCGTGAAGCAATAAATCAATCAATCACACATTCACAAAGTGTCTACCAGATGACTCCAAATAAATAAGTTCCATATTTAAATCAAGCAAAACTAGAAAAGAAATGCATAAAATAGTTCCAGTTGTTTCCTTAAAAAACTAGGACTACATAGCATTTTTCAACATTCTTAAAACAACTTTTTGATTCGCAAAAAAATAGTCCCACCTATACCTTTAATTTTTAATTTATTTTGCTGATATAAATTTTTTTAAATACTTTTTATTAAGATTTTTAGGCAAATATGAATATTTTCGGAAAATATGATTGCAAATTTTTTTTTTATATGGAACCAGTTACAAAACCAACAATTCACAAATTATATGCTAGAAAATAGACTTTAATAAATACACTCCATTATTAATTGAAGTAAACTTCACGTTGCAATGCATAATAAGAAGTAAAAGCTATAACCCGCTAAATAAGGCTCTACAAGCATTTCCCAATTTTCTCACAACCATGAAGTATAACATTTAGAACGATCCACTCTTACGTCATCACGATGCTCTTCTAATAATCATCTCCTCCCAGCCATACTGGTCTTTGTGCCCTCTAACAAAACTTAAAGGAAAGTTAATACTATATATTTATGTAGTTGAGATTCTACAATTATAATTTAGTACCTTTGTCTTCTTCTTCTTTATTTTTTCTAAATGATTATGGATGGGTGTTTAAAAAATAAACAACAACAAGTGTCCTAAAGCCGGAAAAAATATCGGAAACTTCCGACCTATCCCCCTGCTCATGTTACACTTACGAGGTAACATTTGAACAGGTTTGATATTTTTTGAGGTTTTATTATTAGGATTTGTCTTGAAATTTACGCGTAATGCTTTTTTGTAATAGATTCTGGAAGGTCGTGAGCCTTAAAGCAAATTAATAAAATTGATGCCACGATATAAATGAAACGTAAGATTTGTCATATTTTGAGTGTTATTCCTTATTTGGCTGTATTTGTGTAAAATATCGCCGTTTGTTATTTCTTGGGTAACTTAGCCTGCTTGTAAAGTTGTCCTAATTCGTTTTCAGCTAAATTAAATGGATTAAGCTAAAGTGATAGAACGCGTTATATTGTAAACTACAAGTATAGAAATAATAGATGGCGCACTTTGTCACACCTAAGCGGTAAAATAAATCAGAATTAGTAACCCAGAAATAGCACGACGAATTTTAACCCCTAGCTTAGTCTAAGCTCAGCTTTATACGAGCTAAGCACAACTAGCTGGTCTATATGTGCCAAAGAGTTGCCATTTTGGCAAGCATTGATAAAAAATAAATGCGTCACTTTATTATAAGTTTTAAAAAGGAAACTCTTGTTCACAACGAAATTGTATGATTCCCGAATTTAACACTACCTACGCTTTTATCGTTTGCTTGATTCGGACAATATTATTCTTTAAAAAAAATATTTCGTTAAAATGTATTGTTGTTGTTGTAGTTAATTTACCTCGCACTAGAGCTGCACGATGGGCTATTGGCGACGGTCTGGGAAACACCCCTGAGGATGATCCGAAGACATGCCATCACAATTTTGATCCTCTGCAGAGAGGATGGCACCCCCGCTTCGGTAGCCCGACGACCTGCGAGCGAAGTCGAGCACTTTGCGGCAGAACAGTTTAACGAGGGCCAATACCGCACACCCACGGTCCCTACGCAGACTGCTCCTAGTGGTCACCCACCCGCACACTGACCGTAGCCAGTGATGCTTGACTTCGGTGATCTGCTGGGAACCGTGTTTTAACGATCAGTCCACTGCGGGACGTCTTTCATAGCTATATTGAATTAAATTTATTGAACTCAATTTATAGATGAATCAAAATATGACTCCTATTTTTCTGCCATATGACTCCAAATTAACGTACTCCATTAACAAAATGAACGAATTTGACATTAAGATTGTGTTTCCATTCAGATGTCTGGAAAAAAATTTAAAATTATAAACACAATTACTAAGTCAGGATTTATTGTAAGTAAAAATGCATATGGTGAATAATGATTATCTTCTACGTGCAGGGCCAGATTAAGCACACGCGGGGCACTAGGCCATTCAAATTTTTGGGGCCCTTAGATTAAATTTTTTTTTCTCGTACATTTTTTATTTATTCAAATATAAAAGTATTTATATAGCTTTTCATTTAAGAAAGCAAATTTAAAATGAAAATAAATAATAATAATAATTAAATTTTACTTTATTTTGTTAAATTAGAACTAAAAAAATTATCGTATTTTATTAATATATATTTGGAATTGATTTTTTTTCAAATCATTGTTTTTCTTAATTTTTTTAAATTTATTTTCAAAAAAAAAATATTTAAAAGGGCCCCTACTCACTGGGGGCCGTAGGCCTTGGCCTAGTCTGGCCTAATGGGTAATCCGGCCCTGTCTACGTGATGACCATAAGGGTCGTCAACAGGACTTGTAGGGGGCGCTTCAACTAAGCTTATATCTGGGATAAGCTTCTAAGCTTATCCCAGAGATTTACGAATATTGTTTTAAAAATGAGAACTCATTAATCTATTTTATCATTTTGTGTGTGTGTAAAAATATGTAATCTTCAAAAAAAAAATTTGCTGCCTTTTTGAGGCAAGAAGACGACCCAACGACGATGTAAACGGAAAAGTCCGTTTACATCCAATGTTTTTCAAACAATTTCTATTCTCAACTTATTTTAGAGTGCATTATTTTAATCTTTAGTTTTCGGAAGCTGTCTGGATTGATAGTTAACATTTTCTTAGGATGTGCGAATTGATTTAACAGCAATTTCCGCACCTATAGATTTTGTATATTTTAAAAGTCTAAATGTACATTTCTATATTTTGCATTAGATTATTATTCTAGAAAGTAAATATTTTTCATTCTATCACAGTTTGTACTTTATAGCTCGGAAACATTTTAAATTTTTGACTGTAGACTTCGCATTTATTTTTAAAAGCCCCCGGGCCAATTCTTAGCGTATTTTTAGATACTTTTGTTCGTAATACCTGAGGAAATGTTTATTTTTTCAAAAATTATAACATAATTTCATTAGTTACACGTGGTTGTTCATAGATGTTAATAACGTGGTTGTTCATAGATGATTCAAAATGCGCATGCTCTATTTCGTATAGATGGTTGATCGTGTAAAATTGAGCACAGATGGCTCTAGATGTCAAAATTCACCGTAAGACATCCAGGTTACTACTTTCGTTTGATTATTACACCTAAGCTTGAAAAAGCCCGCCATCCAATATAACTGTGATATTTTACAAATAAGGGAAAACACTCAAAACATGACAAACTTTGCACTTTATTAATGTTGTGAGATAAAGTTTCGTAAATTCGTTTAAGGCTTAAATTTAAACACAAAACGCAGTAATAAAACTTCCAAGAATTTTAAGTCTATTCACGCATCTCCTTCTAAGCATAATATAAGCTAAAGGATACGTCGAATGTTTCCTAAATTTTTTCCGGTTTTAAGAAGCTTGTTATTGTTTTCATTCAGTCAACCATCCATACAAGCAATTAACGATTAGACTTTGATAATTATCTATCAGGCATCTACCACGCGTCTGATAGACATCTGATAGAGATAGACTAAATTCAGGGCCTGATCCAAGCGGTCACCCACCCGCACACTGGCTGCAGCCAGTGATGCTTGACTTCGGTGTTCTATTGGGAACCGTGTCTTGACGATAAGCTGTGGGACAAATCAGGTCTTCCATTTCTAATTGCGGCGATCGAAAAAGCATGAAGTTCATTAAATGAGAATGACCTTTTATAAGGATCTTCACATTGCATCTTATTGGTTTCCATGGGCCATTCTCAGTGCCTATTCATCTACAGTGAGCCAAAAGCAAACGGACCATCCTGAATAACGTTTGATCTAATGAT